TCTTCAAAACGGCACGAGGTACAAAATTTTTATTGGTGGTACAAATTAGTACAAATTGAGTACTAAAAAATTGGATAGGTCCGGTTTGATTCTGCTCATTTGGTTCTGCTAGCTTGATAGAGGTGAAATAAGACTAGTATTTTGTAATAACTTATGTAATAGCAAGATGAATGTGATATTATTGTAATTGAAGTAGAATGCTGTAATATGTAGGATAAAGTAGAATAAAAAATAAAAGGTTATGGTATATAAGGTATGAAACTTAAATAATAATATACTGAAATTGAGATTGAGTGGTTTCTAGTTTGTTATAATTAATTATAAGATATGAATGGATAGTCAAGTAAAAATTTGTAAAAATGCCAAGTTCTTTCTTAGCATGTAAGCTAAAATAATAAAATTTCTTTTACTAATTTAAATCTCTGTTTAATTTACTCTTTATCTTTTTCTAATTTTTAGAAAGAGGAAAGGAAAAGAATTTTAAGAATTAGAAAAAGATAAACTGAGATTAAAATTAATCTACATTGATAGAAATGGGCTTAAATAATACTTTTTTTTTTAGCAAGAAACAGTACCGCAAAAAAGATAACTGCAATAGTGGAGAAGGAGTTTTCACGGGAAATCGACTTGAAGGAAAAAGAGATTTTGCAGATACAGGAGAGATTACATAAAACTCTGAGGATCTTTCATCTGTTGCGTTACATCATAATTACTAACTTTTACAATCGCAAGCAGTGTCAAATTCCCCAAGCTGCGGAGACAACGAAACAGACGAGAATTCATCCTGCGATTAAGACGTTACTCGGGAAGAGTCCCAGTTCAGCCGATCATGCAGATCTTGCAGTGCCGTCGACATCCACCGATCCTCGATTTTTGTATGACGACAAATCTCTCGTATCGAGCACCGCGGTGGATAACGTGCTTAAACTCGAGGAAAATGCGAACAAACGTGACGGCACGTTGCGCCAAGGTGAGAAGCGAAAAGCGCCGGACGATCAATCTCAACTGCGCAAGGTACCTCGTTATGTACCACCGAAGAGCAGCACGCCCGAGAAGACGAGTCCGTCGCGCGGGAATAGCCACAAAGTCCGCAAGCGTATCGTCGTCGGCAACATCTCCAAGTGGATCCCACCGGATTGGCGAGAGGACGCGTCTAGTCATAAGTGGACGATGTACGTGCGAGGTGACAAGGATGAAAATATTAGCGCTTTTGTCAATAAGGTGAGGTTCTTCCTACATCCCAGTTATCGTCCAAATGACGTCGTCGAGGTCACGTCGTACCCGTTTCATTTGTCCCGACGCGGATGGGGCGAGTTTCCTCTCAGAGTGCAACTGCACTTCAAGAACGCCCTGAACAAGCCCATGGATATAATTCATCATCTGAAGCTGGATCGCACCTATACTGGACTGCAAACCCTGGGTTCGGAGACTGTGGTCGACGTGTGGATTCACACGGCAGAATCCCGCAATCCCGAGCAGAATTATAGCGAATCCGTCGAGTCTTCCGTTAATGACACTCTCGTGAAGATTGAATCGAAGGATGTTTTTGAATCTACTCATAAACAGTCGTCTACTCATAAATTTGCGGACACGTCACGGCTTACCACAAACAATTTTAAGGAGATTCAAGTGAAAGAAGAAATATCTGATTCAGAAGTATGCGAACAATTTAATTCATCGTTGGATTTAATGTTGATCAAAAATTCAGAAGGCGCCAGAATAAAAACTGAATCTAACGCAACTCATATATCCAACGACGAACACATAGAAGTGATATGTAACTATATTAAACACGATCATAATTATTTTTTCAGACAGTATTCCGATTCTCGTCATTGTACCGTAAGAGAAGGAAACACGACTGTAGAACACTTTCCAGAGACTGATCATACAACATTTGCGATCAATTCGTTAAGAGTCGAGAATAATAAAAAAAAATCCGATGTAACAGTTACCTCGCGTAGAATTAATGGTGATATTCAGTCTTCCAGAAACTATCAGCCTTTAGCATCTTCAAACGCAATGCTAAATGATTCGCTAGCGGCATCAGGAAATGCAACATTCCAAGAGAACAATAGTCAAAAGAATCTATTCGGTACGAATAAATATTTACAGAAAAACTCGAGGAGTGATGATACCTTGAAGATTTTAGAAACTACCTCTGCCAGAGATATAGCAACAATTAATGGATTTCGCAAACCATCCGGTTCCTCGCTTGACTGCTTCAACAATTTACAGAAAACCACAGGATCACCGGAGACCTGTAATTCGCACTTGAAACCTCTGCAAATCTCCATACCACCGTCGAATATATTTGCATCGTTGCCCAATAAGCACGTACTTCTGTTGAAGGATAAAAAATCGATGGATCTTACGAGTATCCTTCCGTCGAAATCCAACGAGAACTCGAGAATGTTCATCGATGGCGACGTGAAGATTTCCGTTCCGCGGGACGGTAATGTCGCGAAGCTGAACATTCGCGTTCCCCAGGGCGTGAGCATCCTGAAGAAGCTCCCTAACGTCAAAGCGAACGCGCGACAGGAAGACACTGTCAGCAACAACAAGAAGACCACTGTACTCAAGCTGAAGAGCGCTAACAGTTTACTGCTAAATGTCAACGAAAACGTGCCGATCTTGAAGATAGCGGATTCGCATGATTCGCGATATAGTTACAGCCTCGCCGAGACGACGATCGGCAAGCAGGAGCTTGCGTCGTGCGCGAAATTGCAAGAGAAGACCGCGGTTCAGCGGGCGAAGATCACGCTGGGCAAGGACAAATTCAAGATCTACAGCAAGAGGGATCAGTACGAGGCGACACTTCGGTCGATCGATAGCGTGAGTATCGCTGACACGGAGGCGCTGATACGATTTATCATACGCCGATTACCGATCATTACGCGAGACGTCCGCGATCCCGACTACAGACGACTGCATCCTTATGCGTGCGGTAGCGAGGAGGAATACTTGACATGCAACATCGGCAAGCAACGTGCTATGGAGTGGTACCGCGCGAAGACAATCAGAGACTGCCTACGAACGAAGCTGATCCCAGTTGATCAATTGTGGAGCATCAAGGAAATCATACTGTGGGCGAGATTGCACGGCTACACACCAAGTCAGAGCACTTTCGGCGCGCAGGAAATAGTCGAAACGAGTGACACGAAGAAACTACCCGACATCACAACATCCGCCACGTCTTGCACTGTCCTGTCCACGTGTACGGAGCCGATTGCGTTGCAAAAGTGGCTGCAGACCTGCCAGCAAGAATCTAACCATCAGTCGACAGATAATTACATCGACGATGAAGAAATCGACATCGAGACTATCAAGGAGTGTCCACGCAGGATAGCAATCGATCGGAGAAAAAACGATGGTAACCAAAATAGCAATTATTCATCCGATTCTGCATTAATACCGATCGAACTTGACGAAGATCTGCTGCCGTTTCATAATTTCGTATGCGACACCGCGCGAGACATCGGCATCAAGATTGGACCAGAGGAGGTTGTACCTGGTGTTCTGTATTGTGCAGCTAGTCGCGTAATAATGCGGGTAAATATTATTTTGATGCGAATTATATTCACTTTCATGGGCGGGGATTTTAGTCAGAGGGAGGAAGGGAGTAAAAATGTATTTTCATAAAATTTATTAAAACTTATGTTAAAGTCAGTCTTTGAGGATCTTCAATGACTTTCTTTAATACTTCTTCCAGCTTCATTCTTTTTGTAAAAAAAAAATCTTATAATTGTTTCTCTTTGCTAAAATTTGGAGATAAGCGTCTTCCTACCTTTCCTTGCTCACTTTTGCGTTGGAATAAAAATTGCATTGTTACAATTCTATTTAGGTTGTTGAATGTTTCGTGGAGGATCTCACTCGATCGTCGCTGGCAAGAGCTTGGGAAAGAAATAACGGGAATGAGTAATTATATATTTTTTTGCATTATTACTACGTTTTGCATGTTGTAAACAATCTATAGTATCTCATCAGTTTGTATATTAATTTGCAGATACCCCAAAGTTATTACGCCGAACGATGTCCGTAACGCTCTCGCAAATCGAGAGGAATTCGACATTTTGACAAACGAAGGTTTGGGCTCGAGACAAGAATTGAATACGGCAGAACTGTGAGGACACACGTGTTGTCGCTAACGAGCAATCGCTCGGTTGTATCGCTACGGACTTCAGAGTACAACGAAGTAATCGGTGAACATGCAGTGAAAGAAAGTCGAGACAGACGCGAGTTTTCCATCATGGGAGATACTAGATTCCAACTCGAGATACTTGATCTTTTTCAATCCCAACCAACTGGAATTCTGTGACGTTCAATCTCGCGTTGCAGCCACTCACGGACCGGTTTGTAGTAAGATAAGAACGGCTCCATACGATACTCGGAGTATCCCGTTGTTAAGTGCAGCGCATATCTCCAATTTACTTTATTTCCGAGCCTCATGATTGATCTGGAAACGTAAACAGAGCTACCGTCACTTTTTTATATACATTCGTACATTTTTTCCATATTTTCCACAAGCAAATGAAGCATTTAGATATATATTATAGGAAAGTTATTTTTTTACTATTTCCTTTCCTTATTTTCGAAAGAGAGACCAGAATTAAAGCTATTATTTTGTAAAAATTTGTGTAGAAGTTTCTTCCAACCTTAAGAACTTTCCCGCATTCTTCGAGCCATAAATGTCGCATTTGTGAAGAGGTAAGTTAAATGCCGTGGAGCCAACTGGAAGATTCAAGGATGCCTCGCACATTCCTTGAAATAGCTGTACTTGCAAAAAATTTCCCAGAAAATACCTATTGAAGTCGAAATTTAATAGTTTTATTTGTATATCTTTATTATGTTTTGAATCGCCTCGCACTTACCCAGCATAAGGCAAATTATGGACGATGTGAAACTTTGCTACAGGATCAAAGAATTTCTCGGATCTTGATGACGGCGGCACGACGCCCATGTATCGACGATGCAAACTCCACCAGAATGTATTGTACTTCGATGGTTTTATCTTGCCGGAAAAGACGGACCACCTCCATTTCTCTATTATTAGTCCATTGGACAATTGCGGTATTTTAAGTAGAGCTTGCCTCAGAAGGAGAGCTGTTTCTAGTAAATCTTGCGAACGCGAATTTGCCTCGGACGAATTATCGGATGACGCGAAAACGTCACGTATCAATCCCAGACGATGCACATGTCGGAAAGATGCTGTACCATACGAAATAGCATCGCCTATTGACTCGTGAAAAGCGCTATTGATTCCATTCTAAATAAAATAATATATTTTACATTGTATAAATTAAAATGAAAATTAATTATAAAGTCAAGCTCGTGCTTGAATAACAAAAAGTAGAAGATCAATCGGCCAAGAACGAGCAAAGGTAAAAGTGACATAAAATCACTAAAGAAAATCAAATTGACTGTGTCACAGTCGACTCGCACAACCCGACAGATAGACATGTATCATTCGCACTATCGTTTTCCACATCTGAAGTAGCCGCACTGTCAAATTATCACCGAAGATTCTTGAAATAATGGATCCGCGTTGCGTCTTCACAATTATAACGTCTTAAAAACGACACGCAGAAAAGAGAAGATTATTTAAAGGAGAAGACATTCCAAGGTCGCGACACGAACGACAATCAAATCCAACATCTCACATAAAAAAAAAATGTTCGACATAATGAAACCACAGCGTGCGCCGATAGTATGTATGCAATTTAATTCTCGTACTACTACAGCGGTAGTTGAATCGACATGTTCTTACAGTATTTATTGTTTTAGGTTTTATATATTCTTTCTGTATTAGTTAACTTAAGTGTATTAATATTAATTTATATTCGTTTTTTATTTATTTATTTAAATTTTTATCTTTATGTAACATTTTAACTTCAACTGGGGAAGACTCCGTGAGTCGAAACGTTTTGATTTTACTATACGACATTAAACTATTTATTAATTTGATTTTCTTTAGTGATTTTATGTCACTTTTACCTTTACTCATCCTTAGCCGATTGATCTTATACTTTTTGTTGAAATGAAAATTATTACTAATGGAAAGTTTGTTTGTTTGTTGAAAGAAACAGTCAATTTTTGTCAAAATAACAACAAAAAGTTCAAATTTATAATATGAATTAATCAGTTATATAATAATTTAATTTTATAAGATAAGCAGATTTGAGGGATTAAAATACCTTAAAAAATGACGGCTGATTCTGATACGCCATGTAATACTGTATATGGCCAATCTCGTGATGAATGACGTCGAAATCTTGCCGCTGTGTTTTTAAACACGCAAAGATTCTAAAATAAAAGCGCAGTTAATTTTAACAGAACTCGTAATTTATTTCTATAAATTATTTTTTTGTATCATTATTTTTAATTATTATTTTTCAAATTATGATTTTTAATTATACTAAAACAATGTGGAAACTGATCACTGAAGCGTAAGCGTCACTTTAACTTTTTCTTCATCCCAAATAGCAGATTTATGATAAAACGCAATATTTATGATAAATATTAATTTTAATATTATGTAATATTATAAATATTATATACATATTTTACATATATTAATAAAAAACTTTATTCGAAATGTTATTAAAATATATAATAAATATTTGTAGTAATATTTTATAAATTTCTCATATTTGTTGGAAAATGCTACCTGTTTGTATGAAACGTTTTAACAGAACTCGTAATTTATTTCTATAAATTATTTTTTGTATTATTATTTGTAATTATTATTTTTCAAATTTTGAATTTTATATAAATTTTGATTATTTATTATATTTTTAATTATATATAAAAATACCTAAAGTCATTCTTCTTGTACATATTGACTGCAGTTGCGTGGCAGCTCGATTCTCTGTCAGTTTCTTCTTCAAAGATAGACTTCTTCCAGAACTCTGACGGTAACGGTGGAAATCCGAGAGATATATAAAAATCTTCTGCAGTCTTAACCATTTTTGTTACACTATAGTTTTTTTGTATTATCGAATCCGTCAGATTTGACACGACTGTGTAATTCGGAAACACCACGTCAATTAATGCTTCCCAACTTTGCGACCACAAGTTGCCTATAAGAGATATAAGAATAACATTAACAGAGAAAGAAATTATGTTTGCTATCTTCATTATGTAACTGTATTTATTATTAACTTATTTTACCTAATAAATGAGCGGGAATTGGCAGAAACATATTGACAACATCGGGATACAATCTCGCGAGCCGGAATCTCACAACAGCGTGAAGAAGGCGATAAAGTGGCTCAACTTGTCGATACATTTCTTCAAAAATTCTTTCTAAGTCCGGAATTTCATATTCCTCTCTCCAATATTCTCCGATATCAGTGTAACCTTACACAGTAAAATTTTTTTACTACACGGAAAGAACGATTTTCTGAAAGATTTAAAATTGAGCGAAAGTCTGAATATCAGAATTTTTAAATCTGAATAACAGATCTAAAAATAATTTTGTTGGACCATCAAAATAATTATGTTCAAAATTAAACTGCCATGAGAAATGTGTATATATACTTTGTTCAATTTTGCTTAATTAAAATTTTTTTGCGGCATTGCTCATCATGCTTGAGCTACATTTTAGACCTTTTAGCAAAATCATCCTCTACGTATACATACAATATTAAATTAATACTATTAAAAATAAAAGATTAATCTTTTATTTCTCATTAAAAGTTGAGTAAATAATTCAGTATGAATGTTACGCTACCATTATTTTGCGCGGCAGTATTTTGAAGGTTCACTAATTGTCTAAAAAGTTCCTTTGTACGACCCATGTGATTTCTCCAAGTAGTCCAAGCCCAACGTAATTCCTTCTCGTTTCTAAACAAATATACATATTAAAAAAAGGTACCTGATATTTCTTTTTTATTGTCGCATGTCTAAAAGCCGCAATGTAAATTTTATCCAAATATATGTATAGGGTGTCCCAGATCGTAATCTGATAGCAGATTCATTTGGAAACGAAAATTTCTAATACTAAAAATGTTAAGATTACAATAATTTTTAAATGGGAAGCGTTTTTAATCGGGGTATTCAAAATCCGTGGTTAGCTAGGTTCATTGCATATACATATAATAATGAAAGTGTTTTTAAGGTAGTACACTCGCGACAATCCAAAAGTTAGGTCCCATCGCGTGCTCGGTGGCCTTAGAACATACATATATGTTCTAAGTCGGTGGCAATACTCTCACTCCCGCCAGTGAGAGAAAACATTTGGTTGCGCCTGTCCATAGGACGCACGCAACGCGGAAAAAAATTAATTTAGATATACGCAGACTAACGCAATTCGACTGGCCGCCTCCTTCACTCGCCTCTATGTGTCAATTAAAATCGAAAATTACATTTTTTTCAAGGCTATTTTCCAAACTAAACGGTAAAAAATTATGAATTTTTTTTCACAATATCCGTTTTATGTTCCTTTATCGCATGCTCATTTTATATCTTACTGCTATAATAGTTTAGGTCCTACAAAAAAAAACGCGACATTTTTATAAACTTTGTATAGGCGACACGTATAAAAAATACAATTTTTAATTGCTTATATCTCAGTATAATTGAAACGGTCAATCTCATTCTAATTGCACAAGCATGTCAACAACTTCTAGTACTACATATATAGTTTCAATTTCAAGAAATTCTGATTGTTTTCAATTCGCGAGTGTACTACACCTTAAATAAACGTAATGTTTAAATATTTTTTGCGTGCGCTTATGAATTTATGTCTTTGTAACTTTTCTTACTTATTTAATTAATTAGCTGTGCATGCTAAAATCGACTAAAACTACAATCTCAACTGTTATATTGTTAGTATTAAATTTCATCTTATTTGATTTTATTTTTGTCGTTTCGAATTTTCTCTAAATGACTTCAAGAATCTGTTAGGTATTAGCAGATAATATAGTAGCTAATATATTATAAGTATATAGCTACTATATTATCTGTTAATACCTAACAGATTCTTGAAGTCATTTAGAGAAAATTCGAAACGACAAAAATAAAATAATAACATTAGTTTACAACAAAAAATTATTTTTAACCGGACTAGGTGTTTCTCGTAGATTTTTGAATACTGAAAACAATGCCGCAAGTCAAAAAATTCCAGCATTTCATCAGGAATCTAAGATAATTAAGATTTAATGTTTAAAAATGACTTTTTTCACGAAATTTAACATTTTTTTGTGAAAAAGATTAACGTTATTTTAAAATTCCGATCAAAAGCCATCAATGTATTGTTCATTCCCTATAAAATACATTTTTTTTTATTTCAATAGCTTACTCGTACTTTTTAGTCATATTATGAAGGATATATAACACATATTTAAACACAAGTTTTTTCTAAGATAACGAATTTTCCATTTGCTGAAGTTACATGTACTTATAATTCCTAGTTTGTACTTATAATCGATGCACATACACAATGTAATTTATCATGATACATTTCGCTAAATGTATGTATACACACACAGGATTTCTTTTAATCCATCTCGAATATCTTGAAAAAAAATTAAAAAAAAAAATGTTTCAGACAAAAATTATTTGAAGAGAAATGATGTAAAGAGAAATAATGGTAATTAAGTAGCCATCGATCGCGCATGCACAAGTGACGCTGTCTAAGTGTCCTCATATTAGAAATAATAGAAATAACTCCCAGCTTAAATCTTTCCTAACATGACTAAAAAATAAGATATTGAAATGGAAAAAATTGCATTTTACAGGGGATAATCAATATATTCATAATTTTTGGTCGAAATTTCAAGATTTTAACCATCTTGACAAAAAAAATGCCAAATATTGAAAAAGTCATTTTTTGGACATTAAACCTCAATTATTTTAGAAATTTGACGTGCTAGAGAAATTTGACTTGCGGTATCGTTTTCAATATCCAAAAATCTAAAAAGCACGTATGTAATCCGATTCAGAGTAATAAAAAAAACTGTTTTGTCGCAACTACTGTAATTTAGACAGTGTATTGCAACTCACCTCGAAGTTGCCATTAACTTTCCCACATTTAATTCGCCGTTGTAACATTTTTGTATGTAATTTTCAACCTTGCAAATTCGCGCGGAGTTATATACAGATGACAAAAGTTCGTTAATAACAGCGATCTTTCTGCAAAGAGTTGACATGAAATGAAAATTGGTTTAAATTTAACGACTTTTTAGAAATCAATTTTCAATTTTTAGTAGCAAATAGCAAACATTTGCTATGATACCTTGCTATTTCATTAGTATATTTCGGTCCTTTACACAAAAACCGCAACAATTTTTCGTTTACAGATACGCCATCATTTTCAAAATTCATAAATTTTGCGCACCATTCATTTCTTAACTTCAGCTTTAGTTGAACAAAATACATATACATTTCTGACGGTACGTTCGAGCGGTTTGCAAGGGCTTGCCATTCTAATTCGGCGATCTCTCGATTTAGCAATTCAAACGTATTATCCATCCTATTGATCATTGACGTTTCATAATCAATTTTTTCCGCTACAACCAATATTAATTAAATATATATATATATAATATTTTTCATAATTTATTATTTTTCACATTGCGACTAATAAATAACATACTTTCGATCACTTTACTTTTCGCAACGACGTTACTGATACACAAAACGATGCATATTGCAAGCCAAAAGAAAATTGTATTTCGCAGACGTTTTCTCGAATCACTTGCCATGCCTTGCAGACGGCGATGCGGCACCATTGTCTTACGGAGAAGGATTAATCCTATCGTGGGGAAAGAAGAGCTTTTATCCGCGTTCGAGAACCGATTGACCGTCTGCTCGCATTTGCGCCGTTCCTTGTGTTTTCTTAGGACAGGAGATAAACCTTTAATTGAAACCTACGCATTATTTTACTTACGCCAGCAAATTGCTCTTCATTACGATCTTCTGCACCTAGTTTCAATCGCCTCATTTCGTCGTGAAGAAAAACACTCTGTTGCCCTATTTATTCTTCCGTTCCGAGAAAATGAGATTTTAATTACAGCTTCTTTCGATTATCGAATCGATATACGTTCATGATGAAGTAAATTTTTACGTAAATTATATTAAAGAAAAATGTACATTAAAAAAGATTTGTATATATTGTATAAAATTTTGCTAGATAATAGATATAAAAATAATTTTATTGAAAACTCAAAAATAATAAACATTGTTGTAAAACTGTTTTAATATTTTAAATCAGTAATCAGTTTGAATTTCTAAGAAAATTATTTTGATGATCCAATAAAATTATTTTCAGATCTGTATCCAAAAATTTTTAGACCTTCTAATAGAATTGTTATTTCCGTGTATGAATATAAGCTTTGCTTGGTTTTTACCATCAATTTGCCCTCACTGGCAAAATTAATACACAAAAACCAAGTAAAGTTATGTCAGTAAACTTTACTTGGTTTTTGCAAACGATTTGCTGGCATATCGGCAGGCTTTGTCAATAAATTAATCCTGAACCTAATGAGGATAAAAATGGTCGTGAACTTGCAGTGGAAATCTGTTCGAATTTGCAGTCAATCTGCCAGCAATCTGCTAGCATTTTTGCTATGAGGATGCATTTACGAGTTATACTCGAGAATTTAGAACATAGTATATAGGTATGTATGCTCTATAAATTAGAGGTAAGTAATTACGAGTGCCACGTCGTTATTAATGCGTAAAATTCTTCACTTTATTTTAAAAAAACCATTACATTCCATTCTCTTGCGAACGTTTCGGCTTTATTCAAACTATGTCGAGGGGGTAACCACTACATAAAATATTGTCCCACAGATTACATGATTTCATTAGATTTGATACGATTTCATACGATTTCAAATGATCATACTGATTACAAATGATTTCATCAGATTACACATAAATTTTTTTATTATAATACATATGAAATCATTTGGTAAATTAAATGATTCATCTGATTGCACAATGATTTCTCGTGATTGCATATGTAATTATCAGATTTATAGTAATTACAATGATTTTATTTGATTTAAAACACATGTTCGATTGCTTATTTGTTTTAAATAAAATAATTATAAGATGTTGGTCTCTGTAAATTCATATTGAACTTTATCTGATTAAAAGGTAAAAAACTTATACGCAATTTGAGGTTGAAAAATATACATATACCTGCATATTTCATTTCAATTAAGATTGCAGTGTTTGATTAGATAGGAAATGTGTTTCCACTTTTCCCACTAGTCTAACCGTGGTCTTAACGAAAAGTAGTTTGTATTTGTATTGTTCGAAATTTGCGTGCAAAGATGTATCAACGTTTCAATTTACTTTTGCTCTAACAGCAACTACTGCAATCTTATTATAGAATGAATAATATGCGCTTACAGGTATAAACCGAAGTATGAACTATGATAAATATTTGCATATTCACTAAAAAAAACAATTTTTTGGAAAAATAAAAAACAAGTTGAGAAAAATTCAAATTCAGTGTTTATTGTCTAAAGCCCACTTTAGACAATCTATAATTCGCGACCAAATTCGGAATAGGATATTTTTATAATTTTGAGTGTAGTAATACAGAAAACATTTAAAGAAGTAAAATACACATATACAAGATATACATCAGGATATACAAATGTATATTTAAGATATATATGTGACACATAAAATTATAAATTGAATTTTATTTTGAATTTAAATTGAATTGAATTTTGAATTTGCAAATTACAGATCGTCATAAAAATTAACATAAAATAAACACCTTGTTGCTTTAAAAATATAAACAAAACGCTATTTAACTATATGGTATATAGCTTGCAACAATAAAAAAATAAATAATATTTAAAAACTTATCCTAACTTATAATTTGCAAGTTCCTGTGAAGAGAAAGAAAATCCTATGGCGTCGATATTAGGAGAAGATAACTTATGTACAATATTAACAGACTGAACTACACAAATATTGTCTCGCTTTGGAAAATAAAATAAATAATTTTCTTTCTTTTTCATAAAAAGTGTAGCCCGATTATATTTATATCATATATCAAAATACTCGATAATGGAAATTTGCATTTACAGAAAATACTAAAGAAAATAATATGAACATAAGAACTAATCACTCAACTGAAGAAAATAACGTGGACACATCTCTTGATTAGACTACTCATTTAAAAGTTAAAGAAAACTAAGCGGATGACAATGGTAAAATTATGAATATTTATGTTTTATATTCCGTCAGTCGCTCAAATGCATGTATATTTATATGAACTTGTATGAAACTGGAAACTTAGCATTTGGTCATCACAAGAATTATAAAAAATTGAATCTGATATTTAAAATGTATTTTATAAACGTTAGAAATTAATATTTGAGTTAAATAATTCCATTTAATTAATATCAACACTGGGAACTCAAACTTACTATTATATATCAAAATACTCAATAATGAAATTTGCATTTACAGAAAGTACTAATTGTAAAGAAAATAATATGAACATAAAAATAATTTGTCAGTAATAGAAGAAAACGCGGGTCCCTCTTTTCATCAAATTGATATACTCATTTACAAGCTGACAAAAATCAAGAGAATGGCCATGGTAAATTCATAAACATTTTATCTGCTTTTATGCGACTTCAATCGTCCAAACACACACACACACGCGCGCGCGCGCGCGTAAAGACGTTTTTTCCAAAAATAGATATGTTAAGAAATTTGATATCTAGCCTTTGTTGATCATGTAGGATTAGCGGTTATATGCACAGTAGAGTCATATTCCAGCGAATATTTATATAGAATTATGGATTTCTATGAGTTGGAATGTAACGAGATGGAATTCAATTGATCGGAATTCAATGAAATGGAATTCTGAAACAACGCTATATATGAATGTGAACAACATCCATCAATCTTGATGTTTTAAATGAGTTATAAATGACAAATGAAGATGCATATTTGACAAAGGATATATCAATATTTCTACATATAATTCATTAAATTTATTAATTATTTGTATAAATTAATATCGCGAACAATCGCGCGTTTTTTTTACAGATTTATTACTGATTTTTTATATTTTGTGTGCATTGAAGCTATAAATATTGACTAATATAATGTAAATAAATAATTATTAATTATTTAAACACGCAGATATTTTAGTTTCTTTATATGTATAATACAAATATTTGAATTTAAAAAACAAAATTTTAAAATTTATTAATTCAAGCTACTAACTATAAGAATAGAAAATTATACATATACAATTTTTTATATATGTATATACAGGGTTTTTGGTACTCAATGGTAAAGCGCTCATGGGCAGGTAGAGTGGGCTAGCTAAACTGAATCGAAAAGTCCTCTACCATTTTACGATCTTCGCAATAGTTATCGAGACAATCATAAAAAACTAATCATAGAAACTAATCATAAAAAAAAATAATTTTCGTCAAATATA